TGGGTCCCAATTTTGTACACCTGGCAGCCACTTCGGTGTAAACATAGCGTAAATAGTTTTTTTTTTATGAATGAGGCGAAAACTCAAGGTTGTTTGTAAGAAAGACTGTGATTGGCGGAACATCAATGACCAACAAGTTTATTAGTATCTATTTTTGGAAACTACGTAAGTCATTTTAATCTTTCGTTTTCTTCAAACAAGTGGTAACAAAACATGTAATATTAGCTATCATTCACTTTGTTGTGGGATATTTTTTTAGAATGCGATTTCCTGGATTTTTTTTTTTTTTATCGACATGACAGCAGCTATGGAGCTGAGGCAGTATTTCCCCCCTTCTTTCAAAACAATTTTCAATTATATAGCTGCATATTTCTTGAAACTTGAAAAATTACTGATACCTTTAATATATTGTTATTATTATTATTATTATTCAAACTACCCAAATTCTGGGAGAACAAACAAGCATTTAGAATAACTTTTCACACACCGGGATATGTATTTATATCATAAACACAGAACCTTAAACAAACAAACCCTTAAACAAACAAACAAACCCTTAAACAAATCCTTCTCCCCACTCCCTTGCTTGTTGCCGTGTGTGTGTGAGGCGGAGAGGGAGACCCAAGGTAGGGGTCGCCTGGCATTGACCTCAGTTCCCGCCTCAACAAATATGCAAGGTCTCTTCTTTTCCTTCTTTCTTTTCTTTCTGTTTTCCTTCTTCCTTTTCTTTCTCTTCTTCATTCCCTTCTTCTTCTGTCTACCTATCCATTATTTTATGATATTCTTCTTTACTTTTAGTTCCTTTTTCAATGTCAGGATCGTATAGTGGGCGAATGATAACGATGATGAATATAATAATCAAAAGATTTAGATTATGATTTTATAGTAAGAAATATATACGAGATAATTGTGATAAAGATACGTGAATAACAGCTGTGATAAGTTGATATGTTAATAATGTTTTTTAAAAGATCATTAATTCATAACTGATGAGTAATGCATCAGGAAAGTAATTGGTTTAAATTATATACCGTTAAGTAAGAAAATTACACTTCATTAATATCTTATACCATTCAATCATTTTGGTATGAAAAGAAAAGCAAAACTAAGAATACTTATTTATTTGACGATAGAAGTTGTAAGAACGAGAAAATTAACTGTTACATCATTAGGAAAAAATGCTAAACCCGAAACAGGTTTGATGAAAGACGAACTATCATGATTATATAGGATGTTTAATAATAAATATACACCGTGATACAAGCCAGCATAATAATAATATTCACAAACTTTTAGATGAATATAAGCAAATGCTAACTAGCCCAGAAAATACAGGTAATAAACCCCAGTAAAGTTGAAAATGTTAATGCTGGTGAACTTTAGACAATAAACATGCCGATAGAAATAAGACTATTGTTGTTAGGTTTTCTAGTAATTTGTAATGATAATAATTTTGATAAAAATCTCTTCTTTTCACAAAATGTAACTAATAAAGTCTTCAGTAACAGAGAATGATTACCCTAATGCCATAATAATTCATGTAAAATATCACTGACTTGATAATGTATTTCGAAAAGTATTTAAAACTTGAAATCAGTTTAGACCATCTGTTTATTTTTTCCTCCTTTGTTTTCAAATCCTGTCTGATTTTACGTGAATGAATTTCATTATAACGCGTATATTTTTTCGTTATCGGTAAGTATGATTTTTATGATTTTCCTGGAAGATTTCAGGAAGATCAAATATTCCATTAATATTTGTTTTGCTTATTTCATTGTTACCATTATTATTTTTTTTTCACCTTGGTCAGATGTAGTGATGTATGAAATTTAGTTGTTGAAGCCATCTGTGTATTATTTGTAAGGTAAATATTAACTAGTTTTTATTGATTGATGAATATACGTGGTCTATCATAAAAAAAAGAAAAAAATCATAAAGACAAACAACAATTTTCTAGCAGGGAAAGCGAACGAGACGCCAGTATTCTTTAATTCAAAATTTATTTCATATTGTAAGGGCATATATAAAATACATATAAACATTTCACAACGAACAAATACAATACAAATAATATAGCAACTGTGAAATAACACAACTGATAATTTTGGTAAATTTCAGGGTTTCAGGAGAAGTAAGTTTTTATTACGTGTTTATAAGCTGCGACATAATGTAAACACGAGTTTACAGAGAGAGAGAGAGAGAGAGAGAGAGAGAGAGAGAGAGAGAGAGAGAGAGAGAGAGAGAGAGAGAGAGAGAGAGAGAGAGAGAGAGAGAGTGAGTGAGAGTGATAGAGCATGGAGACTCTAATTCCTGTACACTTAATCTTACAAAGAACCTGTAAATTGCATCTCATAGAGATGTCTATACAGACAATAAATAGCGTACAAATATATATCGTTACTAATACAAATAAATATAAAGGTTTTCTCTACAGTATTTACATATAAAACGCAACGTAATCTTTGGATGGAAACGTTCTAGAACTTGTATTTACAAATAA